TATATATATATAATATAAATAATGAATGTACACAAATTTGTAAAGTACAAAAACTCAGTTAAACCACAAAGAATCTCTGATCTCTAAGAAAAATCTGGTTTGCAAATGTACAATTTGGGGAATAACAATGTTCACTAATGTTTTTAATTCCAAATAAAAGGTTCAGTTCCTCCTTTCCACTTGAAGGAGTTATTATCAGTGGGTGGAGTCTTTAGCTGGACTGTACCTGCACACTGTCTCGTTATTGCATATTGGTTGGCCCACACTGCATGACACAGACTGACAGCTAGTAAAGTCAGTGTAGACTTACCGTCTGATTTTTAGACCCTCCTCATTATCTGGACGGAAGAACTCGAAGGACTTGTAGATCTTCAGACACTCCCTCCGGTACTGGCCAACATTGAACTCTGTTACAGATATTTTAGAGGATGGGAGTTTAGCCGGGTTCAACTGTGAGGTAATATGTAAATATATAAGTGTGTGTGTAGCGGGTACCTTTGGTTGGCACACCTATCCAGTTTAAGTAGCGTGTGAGCTTCTTTGAAATGTAAGTCTTCCCTCGGGCTGGAAGTCCTACAGTCACAATGAGGGTCGGGCAGTTTGTCATACATACTGTGAGAGAGAGAGAGAGAGAATTTTTAATGGATTTAACTCACTCACATTTAATTTGCTGAGCTTGTCAATATTGTCACATTCAAGAGTTTAATTAGTCTTGAAGGTTGCTCCTAATTACACTAGACAGCGAGAACACACTTTCAGATCACTCTGTGTGACAGTGACACACATTACTACGGAGAATCCCCTCCAGAGAGCAGAGATACCATTACTACAACTGAAACTGTCAAGTCACTGAAAAAAAAAACAAAAAAAACAAGCAACATCCTTCTTTAGACGTCTTATCAGCATTTTGTATTAATGTCCTATCAGAGCTCTGGAGCGGCTCTTAAACAGAGAAAAGATAAGGCATGACAAATGAACAAACTGCTGAATATAAGGACGAGATTAACATGTAGACAGCAGGTTTTGTAATGTAAAACCGTAATTTTTAATACACTAGTGTTATTAGCTCCAAGTGCCAAATTCCTCCCTGTAGAAAAAGAAAAACATTAACAGTCACAACCCTGAGCACTTCTTCAGAGGACAGCATCCTCCTGTCCACTGAGACACTCCCTAACGCACAGACAATATGATGAGGCATTCTGGATGATGTTACAGTGAGCACTGTACACCAGACACAACATTATTAGACTTAAAGTTGAAGAGGGTGAAGTGTTTTGTGCCGGATGCAGGGCTGGACTAGTTGTAACCTGTTTTAAAAGGAAACCAGCAGAGCTTGACTCAGCAGAAATAAGCCCAGCTGCAAAGAGAGCAAACCAGACTGAGAGCAACTGGCTAGAAGAAAAAAAACAGCTGCTCACCGTCACATCCAGAGCAAAGGGCCACCACCATCAGACAGTGTTGGCTGTTTGTAATGGCCCTTGGTAAATTGATGCATTTGAGTCATGTGAGCGTCATATGGCCAAAATCATGTCAGCGAGCTTGCAATTATTCCCTCAAGCGCGATTCAAATGTAGCTCCCTGCATGTGGCATTTGGGGGAAAAAATGAACCATATAAGCTGAGCATGATGCAACACTGCGAAGCACCAAAAAAAGGCGACGATATTCTGCACTTTATGAGTGCGCAACACCTCAAACAACCGCGCGTAAAAGGCAATATCTATATGATCTCATAAAGGCTCAGGAAAAAAAAAAAAATATATAACACAAAATATGATGGGGAAAAATGAATAATAAAATAATAGAGTATTAGCAGATGCCCCACATCACCTCCCAGTCACATCCTTTGCGGCACTTGCCGGTCAGCTGCATCTTACCCCGTCTCTGAGCTATGTGCCCGTTTTTACACGGCATCCAGATCTTCCTGAGCGGGTTCTGTGTGAGCTCCCGCGGGGAAGTCTCCAGCATGAACTCTTCGTTGTCTAACATCCTGAATACTGGATCATTGGTGTTACCCTCCTAGTGAGACACTGAGGCGGTGGGCTCTAACCCTGGCAGTCTGATTCAGCAAGCTGCAGGGGGGGGAGGAGGAGGAGGAGGAGGAGGATGTCACATATCAGCTGAGAAACAGCAGTTTCTTATTACCGTAACGACTGGAGACCGAGCGCAACGGAGAGCGAGAGGGAGCAAAACAAGGATCCAGGTACAGGATGTAACTTGGCCAGCATTATAGTCGTGTTATTTCACAGTGTTCTTCCAGGGATTATCACAGACTTGTTTTGCGATGTGCACACAAAAGGAACTTAGACTTTAAGACTGGGAACTGTCCATTTATAATAATGAACCAATTTCCCCCTGGGATCAATAAAGTAGTTCCGATTCTGATTATTTTATTCAAAAGATAGACAGAAATACAATGTTTGACAAAATGACTAACTGAATGTCTACTCACTAGCTTATCCAGAGATTAAAAATATAATGGAAAGTCTCCAACCAGTCCATGCATATATAGTTAAATCCAAAAGAGAAACACAATCTCTCTCTCAATTCACGAATGAAGGACACCTTTATTTATGTACCATTATTCACAGAAAGATACGTGTTGTGTGGTGGGAACTTGTTTTTGTCGTCCTCTTTATTGCACATTTTGTTTTTTGTTGTTACAGTTTTCGCTGAACTTTCTGTGGTGTAAATGCAACAATTCCTTGAATGCTTTTAACAAATGTTTGCACAATATCCAGACCATAAGCTGCAGCACATCCAAACCCTTTCTAAGAAAACGCTGCTGTTACCGGTAAATATTACCGTAATAACGAGAGGAGAGAGCAAGGAGAGCAGATGTAGGAAGAAAAACAAGCGTTCAGCTGTTCACATGCAGCACACATGGGCAGTGAATGCATCCGAGAACTCAACCAATCAGAGAAGGAGACGAGAGGCCCAGCAGCCAATAGGAGAGGCGGGTCGGGGGTGAGGAAGGCGTGCTGACTACAGGGAGCTCAGAACATAAACATCATCACGAAAACCACCGTAACCTACAGTTTTACACGGCCACGACCCACACACGGGCCCCACACACAGTCTACGAGTGGCAAAAGTCATCAACAACTTCAACTACACACACACACACACACACAGAGGATATCCTGTCTTGCCAACCAAGGATTTCAATAAACTTCTATTAGACTTGTGAATAAGACAAATATGTTCAAATATTTGGTTCCAATATCATTAATAATAATAGTCATTGTTATTATTTAAGTCAGCCACACACAAAACAGTAAAAACAATGTAAATGTCAGCCGTAACTGATTAATGTGCTTAATATTTTTCTTATTATTCATTAATTGGTCTAAATAATTAGAAAATGACAGAAAATTAATCAATAATTATTTTGGTAATTTATTTCAAAAACTCTTCTCAAATGGAAGGATCTGTCTCTCGGTTTATTATAACTGTACATTTGATATTCAAGGTTTTGTTTGTTGGACGAAACAAAACCATTTCCATTCAAAATGCTTGTTTTGTCTGACCAACAGTTCAAACCTCAAACATATTCAGTTTTCATATAAAACAGAAAAGCAGCAGATCTTCACTCTGAGAGGCTTAAATCAGCAAATGTTTAGTATTTTTGTTTGAAAAATGACCTAAAACTGGTTCCACAAAGTCTCAGGTTCAGTTAGTTTGAATTTATGTTTTTCTCTTTACAAGCAGTACAAACCCCCCAAAACACATTTATTCAGCCAAAACAACAGAGGGGAAACTTATGAGAAAATGCTGACAACAGCCCAGCACAGACGACACCTTACACAGCAACTCATCAGCAACATCCTGACTTGTAATGAACCTGGAAGTGTGCATTAAAGGGTTCTTTGTTCTCAGCCCAATGAGACTTAATGTAGTGTCATCATTGTGACACCGGGTGGCACTATACACTCTCTTTTAAAGGCCAGAAATTCAGGGGCGTAGACAATGTAGTAAAGATGTATCTTACGGAGGAGAAATGAGTCCATTCAGAGTGTGAGGACAGCGGTGTTAACAGTTCATCCTCTACTGTAACAGTTAACACACCCAGAGGTCAGAGGTCACCGCTGTCAGAGACAGTCAGCATGTCAGCAGCACTAATCCCATCAGTAAGTCACTACACTTCAGAGCTTCAAGCAATAATCCATGTACACACATTTCCTTAACCTTCAACACACACACACACAGTACA